CCAATGGCTCAAGAGAGTATAATTAGTAAATTGAATTATTTTAAAATTGGACCATATGGGAGTTTAATTAAATATTCGATTCAGGTTTGTGGGATTGAGACTTGATTAATTGGGTCTGAGGATTGGAAATTACAGTCATTCTGAATTAAATTTATCTAAAAAGGCATTTAACTTGAATATGTAAATTATTGACTGAAATTTTGAGTTTGGTCAAAAATCGGAGGCATAAATGATTTGAGAAACCAAAATTGAGGATGGAAATAAGTTTAATTTACTAATTGGAGCCTTTTGCGAGTTTGATTAAAAATCTGATTTGGAATGATAAATTTTAATATAATTAATTGAGCTCTAAAGTAAGTCAAATTAGACTAATTAAATTATGTGAAATTAGTGATTAGCTATGATTAATATAATTATGTGTTAATCGAGATTTATTTGGATTAAGTGTTGCTTAACTAAATCAATCCTAATCATAAATTGAATTATGGAACGGTCTAGAATTGAAGGTGTATTTGGGGTGGGTGTGTAGAGAAATTCTATGTGCGCAGAGAAATCTGTGTGTATATGTGTATGAGGATGTTGTGCTGGGGCTTTTTGTGAGAGTGTGTATACACGTGTGCTGTGTTGATGACAAGAAGTGAGGTGTGTGTGGGTGTATAACCTGATGGAGCTCAAGTCATTGTACTCATTTTGAGTGGAAAAGAAGCTTAAAAAATAAATAAATAAATAAACAAAGAAAAGAGAAGAAAATCGAGAGAGAGAGAGAGAGAGAGAGAGAGAGAGTTGAGAGCTCAATTCTTTGTTGAAGAAGAATTCAATTTGCTTGAAACTTTGAAGAAGCTCAAGAGACCGAAAAAGGGAAAAGAGAGGAAGCAAGAGAATATGAATTGGAGATCTCAAGAGTGTAAAGAGAGAAACCCACTTTTGTGCCAAGAATTGAAGGTGGGGTAGAGAGCTAAGGAAAGAAAAGCTAGGAAAGTGATGGATTGAAGAGGAATTCACCAAATTGAAGGCTATAGGTAAGGATTTTAAGCTTGATTCTTGTAGATTAATTATCTAATAACCAAAATCAAGAAGCAATTGGGTTCAATGTCATATAAATATAAAGAAATTAAGAAAAGAAAGAAGTAATTACATTAAGTTGAAGAATCAAAGAAATAACTTAGGAATGTCATTATTTGAGTTTAATTTCTTCACTCTTCCATGTAATTTGAATTCTATCTTAACATGCATCATGGAATTTCAAGGTTTTGAGATTTTAATTCATGTTTTATGAGTTTGAATTTGGATTTGATATGAGGAAAATTAATAAAAATCTAAATTAGAGCAATTCAAGATTTGAATTATGGTTTGAGCTTAATAATGTAGAATTGGTTGGATTTTGATAAATGTTTCATACATGCAAATGATTTTCTAAGAAATTTATAACTTTAATTTCATGTTTTGAAGGAAAATAGAAAAGAGCTTGAAGTCAATTTTATGTAATTAAAAAAAATGAAGAATTGAAACTATGTTCAAGAAGTTAAATTAGAAATTAATTATTTTGGGTTTAATTTGGGAAGTTATTGTTAAATTAAGCTCCAAAAATTACATGCAACAAAGATTTATTGAAGATTATGAAATTTTGCATTAGTGTTGACCATGAAATTGGGTTTTAAAAGCTTAATTTATGTTTCAGAATTTGTAGGTTTGAAATTGGGCTTGATATGAAAAAAAAAAAGAATTAAATTTAAATTCGGACAAATATGGAAATATATTGTAATTTATATTTGAGAGTCAAAAATTAGTTTTATTTTGAATTAATTTTATACATGCAAATATTTTTGAAAAGGGCTTTATAGATTCAATTTTAAGTTTCATGAAACAAAGAAAGAATTGAAAGATGATTTTTAAACATGAAATCCAAGGTTTAAATGTGAATTAAAATTATGGAATTTTGAAGTACAAGTGGAATTAACTTTAAATAAATGTAATTGGGAATATTTTTGCATATTCGAGTGAGTCATGCTTGAATTTAGAGCCTTGGTAATGTGTTTTGAAGTTTAAACAACATTCTAGTAAACCCAGAATTCATCACCATCACTCGAGCGAAGAAGTTGTCGCTCGAGCGTAGAATGCAAGGAACCAATATTTTTGCAGACCAAGGGGTCTGCTCGAGCGAAGAGTCCTGTTTCAGAAAATTTTGAAAAGTTGTTTCATATGTCGATTTCCATTCTCTTTCACTTTCAAGAATTCTTAGGCAAGAATTATAACTTAACAAGATTAATAAACTACCATTCAACATAAATTAGTTGGTTAAACAATAAGTCATTGACTTAGTAATAATTGATTAAGAAGCCAAGTAAGAAATTGGTTTATTAGATTAATTATCTAACTACTAAAATCAAGAAATAATTAGGTTCAATTTCATATAAATAAGAAGAAATTAAGAAAATAATGAAGAAATTACATTAAGTTGAAGAATCAAAGAAATAACTTAGGAATGTCATTATTTGAGTTTAATTTCTTCACTCTTCCATGTAATTTGAATTCTATCTTAACATGCATCATGGAATTTCAAGGTTTTGAGATTTTAATTCATGTTTTATGAGTTTGAATTTGGATTTGATATGAGGAAAATTAATAAAAATCTAAATTAGAGCAATTCAAGATTTTAATTATGGTTTGAGCTTAATAAAGTAGAATTGGTTGGATTTTGATAAATGTTTCATACATGCAAATGATTTTCTAAGAAGTTTATAACTTTAATTTCATGTTTTGAAGGAAAATAGAAAAGAGCTTGAAGTCAATTTTATATAATTAAAAAAAAAATGAAGAATTGAAACTACGTTCAAGAAATTAAATTAGAAATTAATTATTTTGGGTTTAATTTGGGAAGTTATTGTTAAATTAAGCTCCAAAATTACATGCAACAAAGATTTATTGAAGATTATGAAATTTTGCATTAGTGTTGAACATGACATTGGGTTTTAAAAGTTTAATTTATGTTTCAGAATTTGTAGGTTTGAAATTGGGCTTGATATGAAGAAAAAAAAAATGAATTAAATTTAAATTCGGACAAATATGGAAATATATTGTAATTTATATTTGAGAGTAAAAAATTAGTTTTATTTTGAATTAATTTTATACATGCAAATATTTTTGAAAAGGGCTTTATAGATTCAATTTTAAGTTTCATGAAACAAAGAAAGAATTAAAAGATGATTTTTAAACATGAAATCCAAGGTTTAAATGTGAATTAAAATTATGGAATTTTGAAGTATAAGTGGAATTAACTTTAAATAAATGTAATTGGGAATATTTTTGCATATTCGAGTGAGTCATGCTTGAATTTAGAGCCTTGGTAATGTGTTTTGAAGTTTAAACAACATTCTAGAAAACTCAGAATTCATCACCATCGCTCGAGCGAAGAAGTTGTCGCTCGAGCGTAGAATGCAAGGAACCAATATTTTTGCAGACCAAGGGGTCTACTCAAGCAACCAATGTTGCGCTTGAGCGAAGAGTCCTATTTCAGAAAATTTTGAAAAGTCGTTTCATATTTCAATTTCTGTTCTCTTTCACTTCTAAGCATTCTTAGGCAAGAATTATGACTCAACAAGATTAATAAACTACCGATCAACATAAATTAGTCGGTTAAAGAATAAGTCATTGACTTAGTAATAATTGATTAAGAAGCCAAGTAAGAAATTGGTTTATTTAGAAAAGAATAATTTAGTAATGAAAGAATATGTGAAACGAGAACATGATTCATTTGAATAAAGAAAGAATAAGCATAGTAGACCTTCGGATTATTTAAACAGAATACAAGAAAATTCAAGTTTGATCAAGGAATTAATATTGTGTTTCAATGTGTATATGTTATGTGTTTGTATAGGTCATGAACTATCGTTTGCCTGATCTATCAGATTTGTCTGCATTATCTGATCTGCTAGCAGAGCCATCTGTAAGTAAAAACTTAGTAAAGATATGTTTAACTTTAATTATTTTCTAAATGATATAAATTAAGATTTGTTTTATGCAATGTTATATTCTATACAATGAATGATTGTCCGAGTTTCTGAAATGTATTCGTGACATCCTTAGTACAAGGCCCTTGCCCAGGGGTAACGATACTGTGGTTTATAAGAACAAGGCCCTTTCCCGAGGGTAATAATACTGTGGTCTCATGGCCCTTGACCGAGGGTAATAATACCATGGTTTCAAGGCCCTTGCTCGGGGGTAATAATGATGTGGTTCAAGCATGTTACAAGTTCCCAGTATAGGAGGTTCCTTTATAAAACTAATAAGTATGACCTTAATGCTCTGTATATGATCTGTTAGCGCTAATAGGTGTACCACGTATGATCTTTTGCAAAATATGAATATGAATACGAACATGTATATGAATCTGTTTCTAATTTAAAATCTGAATATGCATAAAACTCTGTTTCTGATAAGAATTTGTTTCTAATATAAATTCTAATTTCTGACTCTGTGATGGACATCATTCATTAAAACCCCTTACTTTGTTATTATTCACTGGGCTCCAGTTCACCGTATTATTTATGTATATAGGTGATCAGGCGCGTGACCAGGCCTAAAGCTTCTGCCTGGACTTTATTTTGTCAGCCAACCTATGTGCCTTCCGTGGAGGTTCCAGATATGTCAAGTGGTAATGGCTATGTGCATAAAGTTCAAGTTTTGTTTTCTTGTTTTTGTCTATTCTATATTTAGGGCCAAGTCCCTTTCTGTGTAGTGTGTATATATATGATGATGTGTAAATGTATGTGTATAAAGTTTAAATTTTTTTTGTCTCCTATAAGTCTGCACAACTCAATGGATGTTGTATAATTGCTATTTGCTTCCGCTAACCCCTAATATTATGTTAATTTGTCTTAGAGGCCATCGGTAATCACATGATTACAGGCCGGTTATGATGTTAAACCTATAGGGGCGGGTTTGGGTCGTGACACCTTGAGATCTTCCAAGTTGTATGCTCCGTTCCCAGCTACAATTGTAACTTAGTAGGGACCCTCCCAGTTAGGTCCTAACTTCCTTTCGCCAGACACCTTTTTGTGGTCCATGACTTTTCTCAGAACCAGCTCTCTAGGTGTGAATTGTCTTGGGAAAACTTTCTTATCGAAACTTTTGATAAGCTGCTGCTGATAGGCGACAAGTCGAATCAGTGCTGTTTCTTTTCGGCCTTCTGCCATGTCTAGAGCTTGTGCTATAGCTTCCTCAGTATTTGCATCTTCAAACAATTCCGATCTGAGGGTTGGGAGACTGACTTCGTGTGGAATAACAGCCTTCATTCCATAGGTCAAGGAGTAGGGTGTCTCTCCCCTTGAATGCCATGCTGTGGTTCGGTAGACCCATAATACATGGGGCAACTCTTCGACCCACTTGCCTTTTGCACTTTCAAGCCGCTTTTTTACCCCGTTAATGATGGTCTTGTTTGATGATAGTGGACCGGAGATCCACACTCGATGATAGTGGACCAGAGCTCCGCACTTGACTGGACTATCCAAGAATTGAGACCCTGCAACAGTGAGCACCGTTAGAGCTGCCCGACCAGAGTTGGCCGGATAACCCCTCCGGTGTGAGAGTAAGTGATCGGAGAAAATGGAATTTGCTCTCTAAGTATAGAGAGTTATGTTTAAGTGAGTATAGTATAGATCAACTTAGTTACCTTCAATGTGAAGTCCTTATAGTTTATATAGAACGCCTTACTTGTTGCCCAAGATGGTATCATGAGACTTTGGTGCTGCCATGCTTCCTTTAACATTGCTCAAGGTAGGGGACCATGAGGTAGTTGACAATGGATACATATACTCGTTGTATTCATGCTAATAACAGACCACATTCCCTTGATCAACCATTTTCATGATTCTAGGGGGAGGGGACCAGCTAAGGTGGTAGGCTGCACATACATGCATTCATAGCTTCCACGTTTTTCTGAGAGGTTCCCTCAACTTGGTACCATTGTGCCTTGGCTAGGCCCTTTGTGAGACTGCTTATAGAGATAGGCTGGCCAATTTAGATATCTTTGGGTGTGCTCGGCCCACTTTGGTTTTTGGTGATGGGTTCAGCCCATCAGTTCGGTCTAAAGATTGAGTCCTGCAGTTCAGCCCAACCTAGCATCACGGCTGGATTGACCTTTCCATTGCGAGTTGGACCCAAGTGCCTGAGGACTTCGGGTGGACTGTTGATCATGGAGTTAGGCTTGATTGGCTTACCCTCACATTTACTTGACCCACTTGGACTTGGGTTTAATGGATTGGGCCAGCCTAAGGCTTGGATCCGACCTATTTATATTTTGCCTCTTCATTTGCCTTCTAGCACGCCCTAAGGTTCCCCTTGGAGGAGCTACTGTCTAGTACCCCAAGTGTCATGTTGCTTTGGATCCACTCCAGTTCGGCCTTAGTGGCGGTTCTATCCTGACACATGCACTCTGCATGTGTCCTTTTATGATGACATGTGGCGGCGCTATACTGGTGTGTATAAGTAGTGCGTCGAATCCATACAGAGGGGCATGATTTTGTACATTCGCGCTGATTGAGGGTAATAAATGCCCTTGGGGTGTCAATTCAAACCTCTTCGTTTATCTCCGAATTTCATAAAACCCCAAAACCCTTTCATTCTTCCACCTTGGTCCTGACAGTGCTCTACCCAGACTTCTGCGGCCATTACTGCCTCGTTCCAGTCTTAAGGATCTCTGCCCATCACTGTTCCATCGTTGAATCTCCGTAAGTTTCCCTGAAACCTATCTTTTCTTTTGCTTTTCTGTGCTGATCGCCCTCTTTGGCCCTTGCGCCATTGTTTCCGGCGACTGGTTCCATCTCTTCTTTAGTTGTGTTTTGTCCCTCTCCAACTAGGTCTAGATAATGGGAAAATTTTAGGCATTGGTGGATACTCCTGAGGCAATTGCCTTGTTCTGTCATGACTATGGTATCCTTGAGGATGTGACCCTTTCGCTGGCAAGAGTTGACACCAAGCACATGGGTACCAGAAACACTGTTGCTTTCTCGTTGTTGCCATTGTTGAAAGAGGGGTCCGGTTTCCCCTTTATCCCTTAGTACGCCGTTTCCTGCACCAAGTTCAACTTACACCTATGCAAGTGTCCGTAAACTTGTTTCGAGTCGTCTGTGGTGTTTCCACTCTTAACAAGCGGTTGGGTCTGAACCTGGACATATGGGACATTCTAGGTAGTTACACCCTTTCACATAATAAAGATCAGAACATCTATTACCTCTGTGTCCGTTCGGCTGATTGTCACCTTGTCACCGGCTTACCTGATTCCGACAAACACAATGACAATTTCTTACAAGTTAGTGGTAACTAGGAGTTCCCTGCTGGGACCGAGTTCCAATCTGAACAGATGCCACAAAAAGATGGCTATCCAGGTTTGAGTCCTGTGCCCTAGTATTTCTGTACTTTTGTTTTATTTGAATATTGTGCTAATGTTGTTCCTCATGTCTATAGAGGCTTCATGTTTTCAGCGTAAGTCGAACTGTGACAATGTTGAGGCGATTAAGGCCATTCTGAGATACAAAAAGAGGTCTGCCTCTGAACTACTGGATTACCAAGTAACATACCAAACCACAATCCCGAAAAAAGCAAAACTTGTTGCATCTCTTCTCGATTCTGATACTGACACACCCCTTGCCCCTCTAGTTACAAACCGCCGCTGTGACCGAAGTTTATCTGTTGAGAGGATACCTTCTCCTTCCTCCAGTTTCGCAGGGGGTGGATCAATGTCAAAAAGGAGAGTGCTAGTGGTTCTAAAGGTAGAGGCTTTTGGTTCATCTTCGGTTCTAGAGGCTCCTCTGGCCAAGGTCGAGCCAAAGAGCCTCATAGATGTAAAATTGGAGATAGGAGCCCCTAGCCTTTCTACCGCTGCTACCGGACCCGCTGCTTTAATCGCTGAAAGGGCAAAGAAGAGGAGGAAGGAGACTGGTAAGGCCATAGTTGGAGAGGCTTCTGAAGATCTTGTAGAGGATGAGACTTTTGAAAAATAGGAGCCGCCCATGCTTTATTAGGGCATGCCTATTTCTATTTCTGACTCAGTTGTTTCTTCTAGAGACTTCACTTTTGATTTAACCAAAACCCTGTTGATGCCAGTGGATATGGCAAATCATAACGGACCATGGGACATCCCCATTTTGAAAGGAACCCTTCAAATTATGACTGTTGTGAGTGCTACTTTATTCATTTTTGTGTTTTTTACTAGTTTGTATCGTTTTCTTTCCTTTGATACCTGTTTATTTGCTGTAGTGTATCCAGAAGATGCATATGTCTATCACTCGAGTTGAGGAACTAGAGAAAGCCGTACTAGAGGCCGCTATGAATGCTGAGAGATTGACAACAAATTTAGAGGCTGAGAAGGAGGGACGCAGGATTGCTGAGAGGGAGGTGTTCCATCTAAACAAAGTTGTCACTTCTGTTGAGAAGTCCAAGGAAGCTACTATCGGGGTCCAAGCCTAACTCGAAGGGAAAGTGGCTGAACTGGAGGCGGTTATTGCGGTGATGGCCGCTAAACGCTCAACTTTAGAGGCCAAGCGCTGGTAGTAGGGCTGGGATGAAGTCGAAGGTGCTTACAAGGAGATGGTGCTGGTACTTTGTGACAAGCTCTTCTTGAAGAGCTGGATGAGTGCCTTGGTTGCTACTCAAATTCCTGGGGAGTCCTCTTTGTTTCAGAGCATTCTAGTTCCCTCAAAGTCCTTGGGTCTGAAGGCAGCTGCCACCCCTGCTACTCCTCAAGCAAGGATTTCTCTGGGAATTGACTCTGCAATCAAGACTCCTGAGAGCGGTGTTGCTAGTGAAGCAATAGATGCTGAAGGGAGTGGGGACATGGAGACTAAGGTTGTGGGAGATGTGGTTAAGGAGGCTCCTATTTCCCAGGATGTTGGAGCTGCCTCTATTTTTCCTCCTCAAGCTGATGTGCACAAAATTGTGAATGATGCCTCTGAAGTTCCTCCTACTGATGAGAGTTAGAGTGGTTTCCATTTGAAAAGACTTGAAGTTTGCTCTTTTTTTTTTTTTTTTTGATATACTGGAGCTCGGTCTTCCTGACGAGTTGCCCCCTTTGATGCTTGTTGAGACAATTTTTTTTTTTGTTACTGGTTTTGTAAGGCTAATTGTGCCTTGAATAATGAAACTTTTCCTTGTTAATCTTTGCAATTTGATGCTCTGATGCTTTCTTAGGCTATTGTTTGTCTTGTCTCTATTGTTTGCCCCTAGCCGAGCACTGTTGGGACTGCAGGGCCGAATAGATGCCCGGTCTGGTCATTTGATAAGCTTGGCTAAAGCTAAGTATGATTGGCATTGTAGATCTTTGCCCTTGTACAGATCTTATTGAAGTCTGTTTCAGCTTGGAAAGTAGGAGTATACTTGAATGGAATGAAAAATATAGAGAATTGGAGTCTTACTCAAGTCTAGGTTGGTTCTGAAAAATAATTGTTTGCCCCCACCTGGAGCTAAGTAAGATTAATGCTAGGAGTGTGATCTTGAAAGAAGTACCCAAGTCAGTTCCAACTTGTGCTTTGTATGGAGCAATGCTGAAGTATAGATGTATTTATAGTTAAGAAATTCTGCGATGTCCAAAAAAGAAAATGAATAGTGAAAATTCATTATTGTGGTTTCCACCAAGCAATTCCACTTGGCTAAGGTCCGTTTTAGTTGCCAAACATAATTTCACCAAGTAATTCCACTTAGCATGTTTGAGTGCTAACTAAAACTAAATTTCGTTCAGTCAATTCGAGACGAAGTCCATTTGGTAAAAATCAAAGCTAAACTGTTTGGTTAACACCAAAGCTAAGTTCGTTTGATAATCATCAAACCTAAATCCGTTTGGTAAAGACCAAAGCTAAGTCCGTTTGATAATCATCAAAACTAAATCTGTTTGGTAAACACCAAAGCTACATCCGTTTGTTAAACACCAAAGCTAAATCCGCTTTGGTAAACACCAGAGCTAAGTCTGTTTGGTAAACATGGGCCTAGGGCTTGGATTAAAATAATCTATTCTAACCTCAAAGCTGTATAGGTGCTAAAAACAAAAAAAGTTCAAAGAAATGATGAAGTATTCTCATTAAACAACAGATAAATGCTTGTACACTTGATGGACAAATTTTGGGGGTATAGTCTATTGATAGTATTTCTTGAGGTTTGCTATATTCCAGGGTCGAGGTATGGTTTTTCCCTTGAGATCTTCCAAGTACTATGCTCCGTTCCCAGCTACAACTGCAACTTTGTAGGGACCCTCCCAGTTAGGTCCTAACTTCCCTTCGACAGATACCTTTTGCACTTTCAAGCCACTTTTTTACCCGTTAATGATGGTCTTCTTTGATGACTCTACCTACCTATTGCTCTGTGGGTAGCACAGAGAGGAATTCCAATATTCAATCCTAAGATCGGCATAGAACTTCCTGAAAACCTTTCCGTCAAATTGCATTCTATTATCTACAATCAGTACCCGTTGGATGCCAAAACAAACTACGACATTCCTCATAACAAACCGCTTTGTGTCTGCTTCTTTAATGCTTGCCAGTGCTTCAACTACCACCCACTTTGTGAAGTAGTCAATTATAGAGATGAAGAAGCCTCTGTTCCCAGTCCCCTATGCCAAAGGTCCAATGATGTCCAACCCCTACTAAGCGAAAGGCCATGGGCTAGTAAGCGGAGTAAGATTTTTGGCTGGCCGATGAATTAATAAAGCAAATCTCTGACACTTATCACACTTCTGCACATACTGCTGTGTATCTCGCTGCATCTGTGGCCACCAGTACC